CGGGGACCAGCAGCGGCTGCTCCGCTCCCCTTCTCCCCGTCGTCCCTCTCCGCGGCCTCCTTGACCCCTTCTGCCATCCCTTCCTCGGCTCCCCTCAGCTCTCCCTCCCGTCCCTCTGTCCTCCCGTCCTTCCTCCCTCATCCCTCCTCTGCCCTCCCTTCCAGGTCCCCCCGGCGCATCCTCCCCTCCTTGCGGCTCCCTCCAGCCCGATTCTCCTCCCTTCAGCTGGCTCCTGCTTTCTCCACTTCCATCCTGGCTCCCTTCTGCCAACTCGGTGGCTTCCCACCGCAGGAAATGGAAGGGACAAGTTGCGAAAAGGGGGGAATGGGGAAGGTGGGGGGAGCAATCTGTTGGTTATTGACTGATTTGGTTGGGGGGGGGGGTGAGCTACCTTCTAACTCAGAGGACATGCTGTGGCTCCAGTTCTTCTGCGTAAAAAATGGCAGCTCAGCTGGCCTGACTGTATGTGAAGGGTTCTTGAAAGCCACCTCTGTGTCAGTGCAGGGATAAGAGCAAATTACATAATGTTTTACCAAAAAAAAAAGTTCTTCTCAGGTTTCAGTAGTGTCAGGCTGGTGAATCGTGACTTTGTTTTGCAGTGCAAGTCAGGGTATTGTTATTCCTGGGGATGGGGCTGTATGCCTGTGCATGCTTCCTCCATATCTGTGTGCTTCCACTGGTCACCCAGAGCTGATCTTCTTGTTTTGTGGATAGTTCATTGTACTTCTGCAATCAGTTTACCACCTCTTTATTTAAACTAGGTATAATAAGTGGCAGAAACAACGTGTGTGCATGCCTGTGTATCCCTTGAGTGAATCTCACTATTATCGCAGGGATAATCTCTATGTGTTGATGCTGTAGATACATACACTGAGTATTGACATTGCTTTTTGTGCCTGCAGCTTCATCCTTTCTATATTGTGCTATCCCAACTCAGATGTTTGGGCATGCATAACGTGAGCGTTTGTGTTTAATATCCCTGAAATGCACGGCAACATATGAGCAGTGCAGGATTGAGGGGAGTAAATATGCATAAAATTGGAATCTCCTTTGGTTATTTTACTTTGTTAGTTATGCATGTTTGGCATGTACAAGAGATAGAAATATATTTGACAGACCTCAGAGTTATTTGTGTTTCTCTACAGAAATTTGCATTCTGTATTTGAAATCATTCTAGCTCCTGTATACTTGTTTGGTTGTTAAAATCTTTCATGTTATTTTAAATTCAGTGCTTGTAGTTTATCTATAATCCTTGGCAGGAGCAGTACCTCAGTGGTATACGATTTTTAACCCAAATGACGTTTTGGAACAATGAGAACTGAAAAACATTTTCTTTTTTTTCTTTCCTTCTTTCTTCTTCAGATTCTTTATCTTTGTTCAGGAGCCTAAGGTTGCTTGCTGATCACAAGAAGATGTTTCTGTGGCTCTTTCTGGTTCTGTCATCTCCAGTTTCTTCTACAACTGCAGATGCTGATATATCTGTGGAAATTTGCAATGTTTGCTCCTGTGTGTCAGTTGAAAATGTACTCTATGTCAACTGTGAGAAGGTTGCAGTCTACAGACCAAATCAGCTTAAGCCACCATGGTCTAATTTTTACCACCTCAACTTTCAAAACAACCTGCTAATTATTCTATATCCAAATTCCTTTCTTAATTTTACACATGCAGTGTCCTTGCAACTGGGTAATAATAAGTTACAGAACATTGAGGGAGGGGCCTTTATGGGTCTTAGTGCATTAAAACAGTTGCATTTGAACAACAATGAATTAAAGATTCTCCGAGCTGACACTTTCCTTGGCATAGAGAACTTGGAGTATCTCCAAGCTGACTACAATTTAATCAAGTTTATTGAACGGGGAGCCTTCAATAAGCTTCACAAGCTGAAAGTCCTGATCCTTAATGACAATCTGATTTCATTCCTTCCCGATAATATTTTTCGATTTGCTTCTCTAACCCATCTGGATATACGAGGGAATCGAATACAGAAGCTTCCATACATTGGAGTTCTGGAACACATTGGGCGAATTGTTGAATTGCAGCTGGAAGACAACCCCTGGAATTGTACTTGTGATTTGTTGCCTTTGAAAGCCTGGCTGGAGAACATGCCCTACAACATCTACATTGGAGAAGCTATCTGTGAAACACCCAGTGACTTGTATGGAAGGCTGCTGAAAGAAACCAACAAGCAAGAGCTGTGCTCCATGGGGACGGGGAGCGATTTTGACGTGCGCATTCTGCCTCCCTCACAGCTGGAGCCCGGTTACAGCACACCGAACGGCCACACGACTCAAACGTCAGTGCACAGATTAGTCACCAAGCCGCCAAAGGCTACGAATCCTTCGAAGATCTCGGGGATAGTAGCAGGCAAAGCACTATCTAATCGCAATCTCAGTCAAATTGTATCTTATCAGACCAGGGTGCCTCCTTTAACTCCTTGTCCGGTCCCCTGTGTTTGCAAAACGCATCCTTCAGACTTGGGATTAAGTGTAAATTGCCAAGAAAGAAATATAGAGTCGATGGCCGAACTCGTACCAAAACCTTTAAATGCCAAGAAACTGCATGTAAATGGCAATTATATTAAGGATGTGGACACTACAGATTTCGTTGAGTTTGAGGGGCTGGATTTGCTACATTTAGGCAGCAATCGGATTTCAGTGATCAAAGGAGAAGTTTTCCGCAACCTTACAAATTTACGGAGATTGTATCTCAATGGCAATCAGATAGAGCGTCTGAGCCCAGAAATGTTTGCTGGCCTCCACAACTTGCAATATCTCTATTTGGAATACAATGTTATCAAAGAAATCCTAGCAGGCACCTTTGACTTAATGCCAAATTTGCAGTTGCTCTACCTAAACAACAATCTTCTACGAAGCTTGCCAGCGTACATTTTTGCTGGTGCACCACTTGCTAGACTGAATCTGAGGAACAATCATTTCATGTATTTACCTGTAAGTGGCGTTCTTGATCAGCTAAAATCTCTTACGCAAATTGATTTGGAAGGTAATCCATGGGACTGCACTTGTGATTTAGTTGCTTTAAAACTGTGGCTTGAAAAACTAAATGAAGGTATTGTGGTGAAGGAATTGAAATGTGAAACACCTGTACAGTTTGCTAACATTGAACTTAAGTCTCTGAAAAATGAGATCCTCTGTCCTAAACTTTTAAACAAGCCATCTGCTCTGTTCACTAGTCCTATGCCCGCTGTTACTTTTACAACACCACTGGGACCAGTTCGGAGTCCTCCTGGTGGCCCAGTTCCGTTGTCCATCCTGATCTTAAGCATTTTAGTTGTGCTTATTTTAACAGTGTTTGTTGCTTTTTGTCTTCTTGTTTTTGTGCTTCGGCGCAACAAAAAACCAACTGTAAAGCATGAAGGGATTGGAAATCAAGAATGCAGTTCTATGCAACTGCAGCTAAGAAAGCACGATCACAAGTCAAACAAAAAAGATGGACTAGGTGCAGAGGCCTTCATTCCTCAAACCATTGAGCAGATGAGCAAAAGCCATACCTGTGGCTTAAAAGAGTCTGAAACAGGCTTCACGTTTGCTGACCCACCAGGGCAAAAAGTCATTCTGAGAAATATTAATGACAAGGAGAAAGATTTATTGCATGTGGATACCAGAAAAAGACTTAGCACAATCGATGAACTGGATGAGTTATTCCCTGGGAGGGATTCCAATGTATTTATTCAAAATTTTCTTGAAAGTAAAAAAGAGTACAACAGCATAGGGGTCAGTGGCTTTGAAATACGTTATCCAGAGAAACTACAAGACAAAAAAACTAAGAAATCTCTAATAGGTGGTAATCATAGTAAAATTGTAGTAGAACAAAGAAAAAGTGAATATTTTGAACTAAAAGCTAAACTTCAAGGTTCACCTGACTACCTACAAGTCCTTGAAGAACAAACAGCTTTGAATAAAATATAGGTCATACAATCTTATTGCCTACAGAGGACATTTATTTAATGATGAAAGTGCCTTTTGTTGACTTTTAACTTCCAAATACTATATTATATTGATAGGCATAGAGGCAGATGTATCCAAGGGTGTCTGATTAACTGTAGCTGCATATGATTTGTCAAGTAGAGGAGAACTTCCTTAATAGATTTTACTACATAAAGCTCATGCCCTGTGGAATCCTGTAGGGATACTGCAAACTCTATTGCCAAAGGGATGCTTTATACACGTTACACTGAATTTAACCTCAAGAGGCATATATGTTTTGTACCTTAAATGCAAAACCATCGTCTCCTTGTGATTTGTTAGAACAAACACAAGAAACCTGGTACTGGTATTTGTACCTCAGCTGGGTCCTTCATCCTGCACGTGGATTTAAGTTGGTGGAACTGGAGTAATCCTTCGATTTGTGGTGTTGTAATGGCACTGTTTAAAGATTATCTGGAAAGTAACAAGCATGCACAGAGAGAACATTCGATAGTATGTGTAAATTGGTTACATTTATGGCCTGCATCTTGAAACCACTGGAATTATAATGTTAAATTGTGCAAATATTTGTTTAAAATATACCATGCATTACATACCTATGAAATAAATTTGACCACTTGAAGCATACATGTCTATACATAAAATTAAAAAAAAAAAAAAAAAAGAAAGAAAATAGTTCAACCTGACTTCTGCAGTATTTGTGGCATCTGAAGAAAATATTTGATGTTTATGCAGAATCTGTTGTAGGACTCATCTCCAATTAAAACTAGAGTTCCTTCTCAGTTACGTGAAACACTTGCAACCCCAACAGGTTGTCCAAAATTGTCAAAGTGCTTACTGTGTGAGCGTAGCAGAAATTATTTTTGTAATATAATTCATATTTATGAAATACTTTGTATACTAAATAGGAAAGATAATGTACTCCTTAATATGTATTTAATATGCCTGACTTGTTTTCCTGATCACAATGCATTAATCATCCAGTATAAATAAAATCAGAACAATATACCAAACAGAAACTGGGGATGTAATGTATAGAATTATCCAGAATTAAGTGATCAGATATAATAATAATAAAATTGTTCTGTACTATTCTTGTGAAATTAGCATATTATCTTATTTCAGATTTGTTACCAATGGTGCATTTTAAAATAGGTTCATTAGTTTTTTAGTATTGTGTCTCAGGCAATTATTTGCCATCAGTTGTCTTGCTTTTCAGGGTTCTACAGCTTAATCTAAATAGTTTTCACTACAAATATTTACAGGAAGTCATGGTAAGGGTAATATTTTAATTGTATATGCATAAGTTTTCTGTTCTCATCTGTCTGGCTGCTGTCAGTCAGAAAAAACTGATCAGAACAGTGAACAATATGGCAAATCATGTCTATTTAAAACCTCAGTGTAAAATGCATATAGTGGTCTCAGTTCAGAGTGTTGTGTAGCTCATATCTAGAGAGTAAAACTTGCCTTTGTGAAAGCTGAATCTGAATAGCTAGGGAAAAAAAAGAAGTCAGGAGAATGGAAAATCCCCACTGCATCTCACTGATAGATGGTACCTTGAGATGAGAATGGAGATACATTGGTAAAGCATCATACAGCGAATCTATATTGTGATATTAACAAAAGTTCTTTGCCTTGAAAAGGAATTTTTTCATTCATTTCAATGAGCTTTCGATAAGACCCTCTATCTCCTTTGCTTCCAGAACCTTTCTCCACGCCCTGTCTTTTATAATCAATACATAACTCAATTAAGATTAGTAGGATACAAACATGAATGTTTTTCATGAATTTGGAACTAGCAAATATTACAGCAAGACCCAATAATAATACTGTGGAGAAGGCTATGTCAGCTATTTCCATTATGCACCTCTAATTTCAGGGCTTTGTGACACTGCTGTGAAATTTTTATTCTGGAATGATACTTGGCAAGCAGCCTGCAGTATATTTTTAACAAAGCTTACCAAAAAAAAAAAAAAAAAGCACTGCTCCTTTATTTAAGAGAAAGCAAAACAAAACAACTTTTTTCTACTTCCAGACATTTGTTTATGGTCTTGTAACGTACAAAGAGGGTTGTTTTATTACTTTTCTCCATACTACAAAGTATATACATGACTTCAGATAATAAAATTAAAACAGATAAATTAATGGCTGAGTTTCTTTCAAAAAGCTGCTGCTATCCATGCACAATAATTGACTTCTTTCAGGATGTCGTAGGGATTTTCAGGACATGGATGCTACGTATGTATGCATTTCTGGGATAAAATGTTCTTGGTTGACTAATGATGCAATACAGGGCCAAGGCTTGAATAGGAACATTTGAGCTTATTGTGTCAAGAGTCAGCGGATTAAGGAGTGCTAAAGATGCACTGACATGATAGACTATAATGGCTCCATCAGTAGGCTAGAAATAACGGGTCACTGTGCCTGCTCTGCACAGTCCTGCATGGCTTTGAGGATGTGTCCAGGTTCATTGGGATTTGCCAAAGCATAAGGCTTCTGACACACTGCCGTGCATTGTCAGAGACTGTCATGTCCCGTACCCTTCTCTTGAGAGGCATGCATTAAAAATATTTAAAATAGCAAATAAGCTAATAATTTTAAGTGATGTTAAAACTGATGTGCTTATGACTCGTGTTGCCCTGACTTAAAGAACAATGATAAATGGTCATACCTCCCTCAGCTAAAAAATTGAGGGTTTTTTTGCTTCGTGTTGTGGGTTTGGTTTTTTTTTGTGGTGAGGTCTTGTATTCACTGATCGAAAGAGGAAGAACTGAACGGTTATGCTGTACCATTACTCTGGCTCAGATTTTCTTGCTCTTTGAGGTCCCAATCCAGTAAAGTATTTAAGCTCAACCTAAATCATGTGCAGAGGTACTATTCAGGAACTAATAATTAAATACCTGTCCAAGAGTGGAGCTTAGATAGAGTCATTGACTTCAAACATTGTATATAATACATACAGCCAGGTGACTCTTTCAGGATTACGCAGCTGAGTGGGAGTTCACCAGCACCGATAAAGGTTGCACAGTCTGGACCTTCCTGTAGAAATTGTTCCTACATGTTTTACATATATGGTGCAATATGTAGGCATAATAGTGTGAGTGAAGAATGCAGAAGTTGGCAAAACACTATATTTCTGTGAAATAGTTACTTTGAATGACAACCTTAATGTCAGTTTATTTCCTCCATGTTTTGAAACAGTGTATGTGTCTGCACAGCAGTTTTAGTGTAATGTCCATTCAAATCTATAGTCAGTCTGTCTGGGAAGGTGACTCTTCGGATGTGGCTTAACAGATCTGTCTGTTCATTATATTGGTTTGAGTGGCCATCCTTGTAAAATGGCTGTTAAGACCCATAGACATAAACTAAATCAGTGAAGGTGCTGACGTAATCTCTTGTCTTCATTGTATTACAAAGAACTTTCCATTTTTAAGTAAAATCTATAAAGTGTAATTGTTTTGTTGAAAAAGAAAAAAATTGTGCAATTTTATCAGAAAGCAACTACCATGGTGCAAGAAAACAAGACCATTAGACAATTAACCTTTTGCATTTAGTGTTCAAGATTGACAATAATATACAAATCTAGTATAAAAATATTTTTAAATATTTTTTTTAAAGCCATAATGACGAGATAAAAGGCATGGCCTTGTGAATAATGTTAACAAATGTTTCAGAATCAACAAAACACATCCAGAACTTGATGGTGGTATAATATCTGTAATATCTTTTGCATGATTTGTACATTGATATTGTATGAAATGAGCACAGTGAGATTTTTTTTTTTTTTTGTTGCATCCAAAGAGTTAGGAAGGAAATATAACAAGAATGTATTTATAATCACTCTATTTTGAAATAAAGTAAAGAAAACAAAATGTATTGGTTTTACCCTGCTTCGATCATTACTATTCTAGGTTAGTTTATAATTCAGATAGTTACTTATAACATCCAGTCCAATGTAAAATACAGAAAGCTATTGTTCATTAATTTTGTTTGCCTTCATCAACATCAAAATATTAGCCAGCATTGATTTAAAAATTTTTATGAAATATTAATAAAATTGTTCGGTAGTACTGTATTTCTGAAACGAGACTTTGTTAAGTGCCTGTATTATTCTCTTTTGGATCATTTGTATATGGATGAAAGAGAATCTATAAAGTAGTTAAATAGTAATGTTTTCTAATCACCTTGACAATTTGTTATTATTTTTTATGAAAGTTTTTCCCATCTTCTGTTGTCTGACAAAATCCTCCTTGCTTCTGTTATACAAATAGTCCCTCCAAAGTCAGTGAATTTTTTTTTTGCATTAGTAACACAAGCAGAATTTAGTTTTTAGTTGGATTCTGAGATCTTCAACACAGAAGCGCTTAGCAGAACAACCAGGTAATGCTAGGAGCATTTGTTTTGATTCTGCTCCCTTCTCATTAATCATTTTGAATAAGACAATTTTTCAGAGGAAAGAAAAGCTAGCTTATCCTTAGCAAAAATAAAAATATCATCCATATACCGTTTCAATTGGTTAGGTTAGTTTTATAAATGAAAGCTGAAAAGACGTCTTTAGGTAGTTTAACTTCCAAATTTAGGTTTTGTGGTAAAAATATTTTACAAAGCCTAATAAAAATCTTCATGGGAGGGTAGAAGAGCAGAAACAGAATTACATCTAGGTTAAACATTCCTTGTTATAATGGTGGTGAATGAGAATCAGAATGTGATATGGACTAGAAAATCAGGACTTCATATGGATTTTTTTTCACTGCCAGTTGCAGTGTAATGTTAGGAGCAAACCCACAGCATTAATTGTAAAAGGCCTATGTATATATTCCATAGAATTTATTTCTAAAGAAAAACTTGAGAATCAAGAATAAGTATTCATGTTTTGAAAATAATACGTGTGCACTGATTTTCTGAATGTAGAATAACTTGGCAATTTTCTGTTAATAAGTTTTTCCTTTATTTAGTCTTTATTTCTAATTGCAATTCATTTATCCTTACGTATTCTGATTGATGCTGTGTTGAAAAATAAAAATAGGAGTGCTAACGCTCAGGGGCAAACTCATCTCAGAAATTTACCAATGTGAATCCAGACTAACTCAACAGACTTCAATGGAATCAAATCAACCTTGCCTTAGTGAACAAAAAAGCAGAAATTTACTATATTAGGCAAGGACCTGATCTATCTGTCATTGAAATAAAAAATAAGTCATTTTTTACTTGAAATAAAATATAATCGTGCTTTATGCTCTATTGATTTGTGTGGTAAAGCTGTTGCTAGTTTCAAATAACCATAGGGCAGAATATAGAGTAGGTGCAGTCCTGTGTCCGTTTGATGTCAGTGGAACTCTGCAATGATTCAAGAGCTGTGGGTATCCTGTAGATGTACTATGGATACAAAACTATTTAAATTTGCTGATTTAATACATAGACTTGGGATATACATCACAGAAGATAGAAATGCTATCTTAACAATACAATTTATTTTCTCCCTGTAATGGAATAAGCTTACCCTGCTCTTGTTTCTCATTAAGTAGGGACTTTATTGCAAGTGTCTGTATTTTACTGTTATTTTTATTCATGTTCATTAGTAATACTTGAGATAATTTATTTAATGTCTGAAAACAGTACATTTTGAGCAGTCAGTTATTTTTAAAATACCAGTCATTAGTAACAGACTGATGCTGTATTATATTGATTGTTCATTCTCTTGCTGGGAATTTTTGTAGTCATTTAACACTAAATGATTTCTTAAAAGCACAAATAACAATCAGATAAGAAAAAGAGACCTAACTGGTACTAAACCTGATTTTTTTGTATGTGTGTACATGAAGGCTTAAAATACTGTAAATCAACTCTGATGGGTACACAAGCGTTACATTGTCCCTTCGGTCTTTGTTTACCCAGGAAACACAAGGTGATCTCTGTGTGGTTTAGTAGTCATTTTGTGTATGTACAGTAACAAAGAAGCCTTCCTCAGTTTCCCTCATCCACAAGCATTTCATTTCTTGATTTAATTGCATGTAATTTCCTAGAAACGTGCGCATTATGACCGTCGAAGGCATCCTTCCACTTCATGCTCTCACTTCACCTTCAGTGTGCCCAGTCCCTTACAGCTGAATGTTTGCGTAGACATTGGTTAATAGCAGTTTCCAAAGAGGCAAAGGAGTAGGATTTGTCAATTTGCAAAAACCAGCTAAAAAAGGCAAATTGTAGGAGACTGGCCTGGATGGTTTCTGAGTCATGTCAGATGAAGTACAATCTGAAACACAGAGGAGTAGGAAGTGGTTTAAGCTTCCATTTGAAAGATTCATGCTGGGCTTTTGAAGCTGGCCGATCATCACTTTTCATGACTGTAAGGTGTGCAGTGTAAAGTAAATGTGCTTCAGTCAGCTGAATCCTGACAGTCAGACTGTGGGCTAAATCCTGCAGACATCTGCACCCAAGCTAGGTTTTGGTGTCACTATTCACTGAAGAGTCTTGGACATGTTATTTAGGTTAAACCAGATGTGATACATATTTCTTAATGAGGCTTTTAGCTGAGATGTGGATACATTTGTGTGTACTTTG